GTAAATAATCTAAGGTAGGATATTTTCGTCACTACCCTTGTGTCATAGTGTGAAAATTTTTTTATTTGTATTATTTATTTGTTTGTATTTGTTAATCAATAATATAATACGTTTATCAATAATAATATACTACGAAAGGAACTTTATTTTTTATTTTAAATGACGCTTCATTTTAATAGACGCTAGTTATTTATTTATTTTTATTTATTTTGTTAATCAATAATATAATACGTTTCTCATTAATAATATACTATGAAAGGAACTTCGTTCCAACCGAGTGTTCCACGACACTCACGCATGTTTTTTTATTATTTAACTCATTTATTAAATAGTAGCAGATTAACGAAATTTCCGTTGTTGGCGCGACATCTCATTGCGCTGTGAACATTGAATGGCATTTAAATGATTTACGTGTATATTGGTAAAGTCGTTCAATGTGCAATGTTCAATGTTTTTCAATGGAATTGTTTCAATTTGGTTGATCCGTGTAATATCGGCTTTACGAGTATACAATGATCAATGTTTTTATAGAAAATTGTACATTATTAATGAAACATTGGATCCAATATTGGCTTAGCTTTCCATTGACGTCCGTCGAGTTGGAAGTTGATATTTTTTTATACAAAGGTTACATTATTATAACCACACACGCAAACTTTCAACATGCGGAAACGGAAATTTCTGAGAAATTTTTTTATTAAAAATCAATTATTTTTGCAATATTTATACCAATCCCCATTGACGTCCGCCAAGTTGGGGGTTGATTTTTTTACAGAACGGTTACATTATTATAAGCACACACACACAAATATTCGACATTCGGAGACGCGTACTTTTTGAGAATAAAATTATTGATAATCAATTATTTTTTAAGTCAATTCCCATTTCCGTAAAACCGCATGTTGAAACTTTGCGCGTGTGCTTATAATAATGTAACCTTTCTGTAAAAAAAATATCAACCTCCAACTCGACGGACGTCAATGGAAAGTCCTACCCCAATATTTGATAGAAACTGGATGAGGAAACTAAAACTAATATTAAAATAAAAAAAAGAAGGTCACAAATGCGTTGTCACCCTTGACGACTAATATGAAATGCATCACATTTACTACTTTCTGACCATAACGCAGTAGTGCAAGAACTTTGAGTTTTGCCGGAAACTTCACCTGATTTGATTCCTGTAAGGTTTTAAAGTGAATTTTAATACGTAAAAGTGATGCGATTTTGTATATTAAATACTGTGGATATGAATTAATCGTAAAAAATATGAAACAAGTGGTCTGATAGTCATGTGATCCTTAACCTGTCCTTGCCTATTATTGTTACACTAGCTGTGCCCCGCGGTTTCACCCGCGTCATCACGTACCCGAGGTGCGCGACATGACATGACACCCAGTTCAAGCATTTTATAATTGCAATTAAATATTTTATTTGATAGCAATGTATGGAAAAATTGGCATAATTAATGGTGTACTTTTATCTGTCAACATATTATGTATGATGTAGAGCGAAGTTAAGTTTTATCCACTTTCCTTCCCCCCCCCCCCCCATTCCACGTCCCAGAAAGTGTCCCGAAACGCGGTTTTTTCCACTCGTCCACTTTCATTATTCCCTTCTTACATGCTCTACGGTTTAGGGTACTCTTGACCTGGCCTACGCATTTCACAGTGTAATAATAATAATAATGTCTTCCAGGCCCAATTTCAGCCAGCCAGCCTCAATGGAGACTAGCCATCGGCGCAGGACAGGATTATAGTGCCCAAGTGTATGCGCAAGTACGCAAGGGCGCACGCCCCTCTATTCCCGCACTCTCATAGTCCGATAGGACGGTAAACCAACACGACTGGAGAGAGATTAGGCGCAGCACCAACGACTTTACGTGCTTTCCGAGGCACGAGGGTGAGACACAGCCAGCTTCCTGACTCCGGGCAGTTACTGAGAATTTCTTAATGGAAAAACTCAATAACTGATTTTTTGACCGACCCGGGATTCGAAACTAAGATCAGCAGCGCACTACTACAACCACTAGACCAACGAGGCAATGTAAATAAACGATGGTCAATGTCCATGTGCAGTAGTAGCTACTTACCATCATAGTATCCTCTTAGTAATCTGTGCCATCAGGTGTTAGCTGATGGCGCAGTCTATTAAAAATGAACTTACAGTCTGTAAGTTAATTTTTAATACTTTAGTTTTATTATAAAACATATGATCACATTTTGTATCTAATAAACGATCTGGCAGCCCTGGGTGACGCCAGGGTTGCCAGAAATGTTCTGAAGGAAACCGCACGACCTTACGGAAAACCGCATACTACTAAAAAAACCCGCCCAATACATTTGAATTCAAATACTCTTTATTTATCTTTATTTTTGTAGCTTATTAGAAAATATTAACGATAAATATATTACAATAAATAAAGTTCGATAAACTATAACCTTATTATATTTTTTTTACACACATAAATAGAGTTTTACACACATATATAAAGTTTTTATTAATTAAAAATGTAAAGATGTGAATAGTTCCTCTACGTTTTCTTCTTCTTCTTCTTCTTCTATAGTACAGTCAAGTCTGGCAACTTTACCAATGGAAGTTAACTTTGCCATCAGGGGTGTACTGGTACAAAATTACGATTAACACGAAAAATGTAACATTGTTCGATATGTGCAATTTTTTGGATGAAAATACAATAACTAATTGACAGCATTGCTTTCTAAATGGCAACATGATAGTTAATTTTGGCATTTTATTTTAACGCTGAATTGTGCCGGCAAATCTGAATCTTTGTTCAGTAATCCAGAACTATTGTTGATTTTATTTGAAATACTGAATGTAAGTATCTATATCTTTGTAGTAACGTAATATTAATTGGTTATCAAATGAAATATGTCGTTTTAACACGTTGGTCTTAACATTTATCTATAAAAGTAACTTAACAAAATTACCATATCAGTGATGCCATGACCCTTGTATGTAACAAAACATGTCAAATGTTTTGCTACAACCAAGGGTTGTCACTTTCAACCCATATTTTAACCGATTTCGACTATTAAAAGAAAGGGTTCTGTACTTGACATTCTAAGTATGTATGTTTGTATCGATTTTGTTTTATAAAATATTGGTGACAAACGAGCATACAGTCCACCTTATAGTAAGTGGATGCTGTGGTCCATAAACATCTACATTTATCGTCGAATAAGAATCATAATGCAGATGCGTTGTCATCCCCGGTTGAGCCGCTACGACCATAATATAGCTGCAGCGTGGGGTATAGCCACGTTTGCATGTTTCCCTGTAGCAACCCATTAGACTGATTTTACCAAACGAATCGTCAATCAATTCATCTTTAACAAAAGTGAAAGAAGAAATCTATTTTTATTTTATTATTTTTACTGCGTTGTCAGGTATTAATAATACACCCATATTTTGTAATTACCAATAAAAAGTGCTCTCAGTGTCTATTATTGATCACATTTAAGTAAAAACAGTGTCATTTTTAAAGATTATGAATGTTTTGCTATTGTGGGAAAACAATAAGTATTTAGATTGATTACAATAATTATTCTTTTACCTGACATGATTTCAAAAAAAAAAGAGTACTTGTTTAAAAGTGATTGTAAAAGCTTTTTTTAATATATACTATAATTGATTTTAACTTATTATTACACCAATTTCACCTTCAACCTTGAATTCAAATCCTATTATTTTCAATATTAACCCTGATGGCAAAGTTGCCACAAAGTGAGGTTAACTTTGCCATTTTCTATTTTTGAGTATTTTATCTATTTAATGTTAGTATTTGTTTAAATAAATGGAAAATTGGTCCTAAACTTTTATATCCTTCTAAAAATGGCAAAGTTGCCAGTACTCGCGGTATTTGGCTCTTTTTATCATAAATTGTAGCATTAAAATTTAGTATACTATCAGCCGGCTAAAATTCAGTACAGCACACTTCTTCCTTTTCTAAACCCATCTTAATTCATAATAATGACGATAATAATGGTAGATACATGCGATTATGAAGCTTAGTTTTAGTAACGGTTACTCTTGAAAACACCGGCTCAACTGTAAATTACTCACTGGTAGGCTGCATACTGTCAGTGCTAGTGTGTGATAGTGATCTTTGAAGATAAAATTCCCTTCAGAGTCAAAATCGCCCAAAGGCGCAAGATATATACTAAAATCTACTAATTTGTGGGAAACGACCCAATCTGGCAACCCTAGGTGCCGCTTACGTGTAATCTTGTTGTTTCGCTAATTCGCTGTCTCTTTTTAAAACGTTTTTTCTTTTTTCTTTCTTTTCGTAGTTTGACGGTTCGAAAGAACATTCAAAAATCCGTCAGATAAAACTTTTACTTTCGTAACTTTCTTTTGGTGTATTTAACTTTTGAAAGGTGATTATTAATTTTTTATTTATTTTTATTAAAATGAATGCATATTTTTAACTATTTCTGGTAAAATGAGAATTTCCACTAATTTATTAAATTATGGACTGCTTTATAACCTTCAAATTAAAACACTCATATTGAGTACATAGGCATTCTTAATTAAATATTTGAGTGTTATATTCATAAAGGATGCAGGTAATTCTCAAATATTCATACATATGCTTCTATTTATAATGACATTGATTATAAATAACTTACATTTATGTAAATATGATTTGTGTTGGTTAACCAATATTTTGTATATAATGAACATCTTCAATTTATTAATTTTAATTTTTTTTAATTAAAATTTTTGTAGCCACGCATACGTGTTATCAGCGACTGTTGAGTGTTCACGTGGACTTTAGAATTTATGTTAACCTGTGTGTTTTGTTTTTTATTCTCTGGTCAATAAATATAAGCAGACTTTAAAATAGTAAAAGCATTCGCATTACAATACCTTCAAGTTGTTTTTAGAGCTATTTTAAAATCTTGCAAAACTGACCATACAAGTAATTGTTTACTATTATGTCTTATGTTTTCAATGCTGCACTGTTTTCATTTCAGAAAATGTCAGCCTTAATTCATGAAAAAGTATGGTTGGACAAAACCACTTACAATGATGCTGAAAAGAACTATTATGAGTCCCTATCAAAAGTGAGTATCAAATTATTTAATACTATTTAAATGAGAACCCACCTAAATATATGTCATCACTAAAAAACTATTCATATGTTCCAATATGATCTGTTGAAACAATTAACTTGGTGGAAAATTTGTAGTGGAGCCTACTATATTATGCAATTTAAAACAAAAACACTACTACTGTAGTTTTTCACATATTATCTGCAGAAAATCAATAGGAATACTACTACAGCTACTACTATTATGTGGTGGAGCCTATTATCATCAAAAATTGCATCAAAAACTTTTTAGTTACTTTAAATTTCAGATAAGATATTTATATAGTATATTTCTAGAGCAGGCGGAAAAACGTACATTGACCTTTGACAATATCATCGGAGTAGCCAATCTTTTTCTTAGGTTTTATCTTTTTATCCTAGTATCATTACATACATCATCAGAGTGAAAGATGAGAGTGCCGAGTGTGAAGTTCTTCGCAGGTCCTGTGTCTAATATTTTATTATAAAGAAAGAAGATTATCCTGTACTTATATGAATTGAAAAGCAAATTAATATTAATTTAAATTTATTATTTATAAACCATAAGAGTTAATACAAATTTAATTATTACATTAACAGTAGGTAAGTAGTGTAATAAGTAGGTAGGTAGGTAGTTGTACAAAACAATCACTTCTTGGCAGTCGGGTAAAATGGCGAAGTTTTAATGCATTCTGTGCATAAAACTTCTCATAATAGATTGTCAGATACACTGGACAGACTATGCTTTTGTAACTATTTTAGAATCATTTTCTGATGATAAAGAGGTGGAAAAGTTCGCCACATTGATTATAAAACTGTCTACAGTTTTATCAATGGCATTATCCAATTCATTTAATTTGTTTTCTTCTTTTATGACGTGGTTAATGTAGTTTTTCCACTTCATATGCTCGATATTGTATAGCCCTTCTTCATATAGTGTTTTGACATCTGCCATTTTAAAAGTGGTATTGTTTCAGTTTAGGTTTGTTATCTCTGAATGACCGCTTCCTTCACCCCACCCTGTAACATGAAACACGCTTAGCGCATAACGATATGTATTCGATAATGAATTGTATGGAAGCAATACCTGTCATTTTGTTTCTGTGTTAACATAATACTTTAGGTCAATGTATGTTTTTCCGCCTGCCCTAGAAACATACTATAATTTATTTTAAGAAATAGGCACATGCCCTGATTACTTAACTAGGTACTTAGCTACAGCCTATCAAGAGTCCACTGCTGAACATAGGCTTGGTAGTGAGCACCTCATTCCCAGGGGTTATTATCATCGATAAATTCCTTAATATTATAATAGCCCTTTTTATACAAACTTAGTTTATTAAAGCTTTGAACTTTGAGCAGATTTTGTATATTTTTTGGGATTTTATTAAGTTGTGTGTATATTGTGTGTAATTGTGTGAGTGTGATGTATTAAGTTAATGCTCTTACTCAATAATATTAACAATATTGTGAACACAATAAAATATGTTCTCAACATGCATTACCTATCAATTACTGGTTTTCATTAAACATGCATTACCTAGCTGTATATGTATAAAAAACATACTAGATTTCAGTATACAAAAAAAAATTAACATGTCAAAATAAGGTTTGGTTTCGGCTGAAACTGACACCCAGACCGAAGGTTCGTTTTCGGTTTTGGTTAAAAATCCTGTTTCGGTCGGACACTAAAAATATTATTGTGTACTAAATACTAGCAGCAGGTATAGACTCTGCGTTCTCATCAACATTCATCATTTTTTACAAGCACAAACAACAATAATAATGCAAATTCTTGCTTTGCCTGCTCCCTTCAGCCTGAAATAGTGCAAACATTTTAAAAGTTACCCAAGGCAACCTAACTGACCCCACCAACTATAAGCCTATTTGAGTTACCTTCATACTATGTAAGATTTATAGATCTTTTTGTTAACTCGCTCTTTTTGAAAACCTGTGCATAAAACATATAGCTGTTGTGAAGCACCGACGCTCCGGGTCTACATATTTAGGGTCGTCTCAACCATTATATCAAATTTGATAGACCACAAATCCTCACCAAAAAACACCGATTCCTACCAAGAATTATTTGCTAGGCTATTGAAATTAAAAAACTTCTTAATAAAGAAGATGACTGGGTCTACGTTTTGCTTGGGATCCCATAATTAATAAAATTAAATCCAAACCCAAACATTCTGCAAGGCTTCAAGATACTGTATGCTCATTCTGCATAGACTGGACCAAAAATTAAAACTTAAAGGGTATGGTAGCCTTTGTTAACTGTTTGGGACTGAGGTCAGTCCCCTCATGACCATGGGTGCTGCAAAGTATCCGAAATGTTGGAAATTAGAAAAGTTAAAATGCATAAAATTTGTTATATTCCATGTGTATTATTTGCGTAAATATTAGAAATCATTATGTCCACCATGGGCAGTTCATTAAGTTCAGAATCATAGCAACCGCAAGGAAACTAAGTGTCCTTGCAAGTGTGCGGCGGTACTTCACGCCGGAGCAGCTTCTTACCATATATGAAGCACAAGTCCAACCGTACATGGATTACTGCTGTCACATGGGCTGGTGCTGAACATGCCACCACTTTATAAGCTGTAACCACTTTTCTCAGTCTTCCGTAATGCGTAAAATAATTTTCGAAGGTCTGTCTTTCTGTGTGATAAAAATCTAGACGTCTGTGAGGCAAAATAGAATAGCTGTTTGTTACGTTGACAGTGCGATTTACTATCTTGGGCTTTATCACCACTTACCAACAGGTGGGATGGTAGTCAAGCAATGGATCTTAAGTAAAAAAAGATATTATCTTTAAGGCTAGTAAAAATACATATTGTTAGTCTTGATGTAACATTATATTAACAATTTATATCAATGTCAACTTTCAGGTACAAACTACTCCGCTCTTAAACTCATCCCTAGCCAGTGAAGTGGCAAAGGCAAGACAACATATCAAAAACTCCTTAGAATGTGTGAGTAAGCTAAGCAATCTAAAATTATAGCATCAAAATGTGAAAATTTATACTTGCTATTAATAATTAAAAAATTATTCACATTGATCATTTTATTTGAATTTAAATTACACATAATAAATAGTATGCATTACAATGAGATGTCTACTTTTCCTTTTTAATCATCATCACCATTATCGACCCATAGAAGTCCTCTGTAGGACATGGACCTCTACTATTGTAGGGAGGATTTCCCTTAAACATCACTCTAAGCAGGCAGATTCTTATGGTACTAACGTACATATGTACATACTTGTGGAGTACCAGACGTCTGACGCATTTAAAGCAGCTTACTGTCACTTGTCTGTAAATTTTATGCCTGGCTGAAATGAAATGGTTATGCCGCCATCTATTAGAAGCCATAAGATATTTCTGGTATTTTCCATAATCACCTCATATGGCACCCCTGGGACCTACAGACTGATGAAAACTATTACACGACCAAAACGGATTTTTTTTTCTCATTTTTATATGAATATGATTCAAAAATAAAAGCTTTTGTATAATGGATTTCCGCAGTAACGCCTGATTCTATTAATTATGAATATGATTCATCATTCATATTGTTTTATTCAATATAAATGTAGTATAAAAATTTTCTACATATTTTATTTTAATTGCAATTTGATATGCTATTCAAATATTTCAAACTAGCTTTAATTCTCCATTATTTTTAAGAACTTTCATAAGTTCTAACAACATTATTACTTTACTATTCTCTGCACATATCATTATTGTTCTATAAATGCTCATGAGCATTGAGTTGTGTATGAACTCTATGCACTTGTACATTTCCACTTGGGTCATATCTAGTATCATCATTATAATCAGTCCCCTGTTTGTCATAATCCTTTAATAAAGAGAAATTATGTTATTGTTATCGCCATACATAAGAAGATTATTGCAGTATTTAATATTAGACACTTTCTCTTGATACTGTTCTTTACCTATTTTAGATTATTGATATTTTAGATCTTGCAAATTATTAAGTTTTATGAGTCAAATTCTATTAGGCTTAAGTTCTTATGAATGTTAAAATCTACACTGGTTCATAAAACAAGTCCCCAAAGAGCTGGCAAGAAACTTTTTTTTAATGCCATGTCATTTACACATTATAATAAAATAAACACAATGTCAAATGCATATTAATTTTTTTTTAAATCAATTTATCAGTAGCCAGGTCACTTACAAGTGAAACAGTATTGAAATTTCCTAAATATTTATTTTTTGTTGCACTATATTTTCAAAGATTTTTGTAAAGTTTAATGTATTTACCCAAAAAAGGTTTTCTAGTTTTAGATAATCTAAATTTAGTAACCTCTAACATTACCTCTATCCATTCTACAGAAGACAATCCATTGTTTATTAAATTGATTTATATTTTTTAAAACTAACTACCGTTTTGCCTTTGCTAACAATTTTTGTTGTACAAATGGTGTCTGATCAGGAATTGATCTGGATTTTACCTATCCTTATTCTACATAAGTTGTAACATATAAGTCTTATACATATGGTAAACATGTTCCTATAATTACAGATGGATAGTGTAGCAACCTTAGCTGGTGTTCCAAATACCGAACTTTTTAATAAATTAAACAATTTGGAAAAAGAGAACAGTAATTTAAAAAAAGCTATCGATGATTTGCGCAAGTTGGTACTCGGCCTGCAAGCTAGAGTAGAGTCTTTAGAGTCTGGCACTGGAAAGAACACAAAAGCAGACACTTCAAAGGTAAATTTATATGTTTTTTTTTGTTTTGTGGTAAACATTGTTTAAACAAATGAATCAGATAAACAAATGAAAACTCATGCAACCAATTTTTATGTATCATGCATGTAACATTACAAAACAGCATATGAAACCTCATTTTTTTTTTAATATTTGCAAAAACTGTTCCTCTATCATTTTTATTTATTAAAATATAAAAGGTTAATTGATCTTTGTAGCCTGCACCACCAGCACCTGAAACACAAGATTCAGATGACGGTGTTGACCTATTTGGCTCAGATGATGAAGAAGAAAATGCAGAAGCTGCAAAACTGAGAGAAGAGCGCCTTGCTGCCTATAATGCTAAAAAAGCTAAAAGTAAGTATAATTCTTACATTCCATTCTGTGCAAGCTTATATAACACAGTATTTTGCGGAAATTATCATTTAATTTTAATTATAATTTACATAAATATTTGATAATAGACAAATCTTTACTCCGACACAACACATGACACTGAATATAGTATTAATATTATACAACCTAATTTATAAAGGTAATTTATTATGACGCGATAATTTTTTTTCAGAACCGGTCCTCATTGCAAAATCTAACATTATTTTGGATGTTAAGCCCTGGGATGATGAAACAGATATGGCAGCCATGGAAAAAGCAGTAAGAGCTATAAACACAGATGGACTTCTGTGGGGTGCAGCTAAACTTGTACCTCTTGCTTTTGGTATTCACAAATTGCAAATCTCTTGCGTTGTTGAAGACGACAAAGTTTCAGTTGATTGGCTCACTGAGGAAATTGAGAAAATTGAAGATTTTGTAAGTTATACATAGTTTTTTTTAAACTTTAATTAATACTCCTAAAAGAAATAATAACGTTTGCTAATTGTGTCTTATTATAATAAAACAAATATTTTATTAAATTACTAAGTAGTGGCAGTGTAAGAATATCTACTACCCCCTATCATTCCGTGGGTGTCGTAAGAGCTGACAGAGGGAAACAACTCAGGAGATGGGCAGAATTGTCTTCCTAATAACGACTAAACATAAAAACTGCGGTTGCCAACCCGCTTGCCAAGCATGGCTACTATAGCAAATATCCCCCTACGAGAGTTAACTATGAGTTAGCTGCATGCTTATAATCAATGGCCAACATGTTGCCTATTTCATCTAACTGTATGATCATTCGTGCAACGGTGGTGATGTGACCGCATGTTGACGATGGCGGGTTCGTGACGGCGAAACCGAAAACTGAAGTTGAGATAATGTTTGTCTAGTGTTGAGTTGATATTAAGTGGGAAATATTTCACCTTCAGTATGAATTTTCTTACCAAATGGAAAGTATTTTTTTAAAGTTGGTCCCAAAGATATTATTTTTAGTAGTTTATAATCAATATTTTTTTATTATAATCGCAAACTATTGTTAACAAAGGGCATTAGAGATTACCATATTCATATTTTCGTATTTTATTTTATTTACCATATAAATATACAGAATGTCAAGTCCATTTAACACCAATCACACATTAAGACAATTCAGTCAGATTTTCTACCACCTAATTCTGTTCATCTTAATTTTTTCAGGTCCAAAGCGTCGACATTGCTGCCTTTAACAAAGTTTAATATTTTTTTATAAACAATATAGTTAACTTGTAAAAAAGTGACTTTTTTTATTTAACCTTTTCTTATTTTTAACATCAGCAGTTTTTAAGAGATTTGTTTCAAAGATTCTGAACTAATCGTCGGTCGGATTTATTTTTATTTGAATGTTTTAATTATTGTAATCTTTGTGTCATACATAGCTTAGAAGTAGTGGCGCAAGAATATTCGATATCCCAAATCATCCCGTGGGTGACGTAAGCCGACAGAGGAAAATTAAAACAGAAGGGCAACAGCTGCAGCAGCATATTCCTGTTACGATCTCAAAACAGCGGTTGCCAACCCGCCGCCAAGCTTCGTTATGACTATGGCAAATATACCCTATAAAACAACCTTTATGGAAGGCCTATGTTTCTTATGGCTTTTATTTTAAATGCTGATTTACCACGTGCTCGGCGGTGAAGGAAAACATCGTGAGAAAACCTGCATGTTTGAAAAATAAGAATAAAAAAATATTTCGAAGACATGTGAAGTTCGCTGACACGCATTGGGGCAGCGCGGCGGACATTTCCTTGCCCCAAAATCCTCTCAGAAATGAGAGGAGGCCTGTGCCCAGCAATAGAAAATACAGGCTGTTACTTTACTCGAGCTTCAGTTTGACGACCGGCTCTAAATTGTCAGACGCCTGTGTTGACAACTGTCAAATATTTGCACTCACTTTTATCACACAGATGGCTCGAAGTCATCGTATCTCAGTTTTATTTATTTATACTTTATCGGCCCAAAAAGTCCACTGCTGGAATGTGTATAAGTTTTTCTAGTTATTAACCTTAATCACAAGTACTAAATGTATTGCATTAAGTCGGAAACAGTATTCGAACATTTCAAAATAGGCGATTTTGAGATGTATTATCTGAGGTCCAAAGAGAGGGGGATGACACGGTAATCCTCGAATCCGCCAACTTATCAGATGTCTGTTGGATAAACGACCATCTGTCCCAGTGTCGGATTAATTGTCCACTGAAATTAAGAAAACCTCTATTTAGTTTTATTGATAGCATCCACAAATACTGTATAAATATTAAAAAAAATTATTTAGATCATAAAATTTCCTAAAGTTATGAGTAATGAACATTTGTATAAGATAAGCGGTAGATGAATATTTACAGGTTTGTAAAAGTACTGTTTTGAGATAATCAGCGCTTGGAACGTACTTACGTCCTTAACAACGGTGTCAATTTCAGGAGTATCGATAAGGGTTGCGTACGTGGCGTCCGCTGAAAGATTTTTGTAACTCGTACATAAAACAATCTAAATAAACTAATATATTGTTACGCGCCACTATTAATGTCTTGTACATGGCAACACTAGTCACACTAGCGCCCTCTAGTGTCGAGTAGCAGAACTAGGAGAGTCGAGATCCTTCCAGAAATTTCGGGACCGATATGTACTCGAACATTCTAGATGTCGCTACAGTAGAAGGTTCTGGAAACTATCTGAGGCCCTATATAAGACCGGTATAGACCACGACCGGGGCAGTATTGAATTGGCGATACAAGAGAATACTTCGAAGCGAAATAACGGCGAACTGTGTTTTATTATTAGTGTGATTTTTGATTGTAATTAGTGTTGTGTAATTAAAGTGTCAATTTTGGTAATTGAGTCGGCAGTTTTTAATTGTCTCGAACGCGAAGCTCGTAACAATTGGTGTCAGAAGTGGGATCAAATATGCCGATTTTACCTAAAGACGACACGGAGGGTATCCGTACCCGAAGTCAACGCCAACAGGAGACGGACCAGAGACGATTTGGTAATGCAACGCCGCAAAACGTCGGAGGGCCAGTTGCTAACCACGGAGGCTGGCCCGTCAGCAGCTCCTGCATCTGCAGCACCTGACTTGGGTGCTCTGATGATGATGCTGCAGGATCAGGCTCGCCGACAGGAGGAACAGGCCCGCCGACAGGAGGAACAGGCCCGCCGACAGGAGGAACAGACCCGTCGGCTGGAAGAGCAGCTGCAGCGCGGTATGGAAGAACAGATGCTCCTCAGGAAGGACCTTCACGCTACCTTCGGGAAAGAGATAAAGGAGGTGAAGGATAGGGTTGCTCAACATGACAACCGCCTGTCGGAAGCTGAAACCCGAATCGACCAAGTGAACAATCGGGTTGACAACGTGATGGCTGATGTGAAGAAAACGCTGGACGACCTCAAACTTGGGGATGGAATCACAGCTCCCGTGGTAGCTACAACACCTTCGCTACGTGGATTCAAAGTGCCGCCGTTCGACGGGAGTTCTTCCTGGTCGGCCTACAAAATCCAGTTCGAGACTGTCATGAAAGCGAACGGCTGGAATAAAATTCAGGCCATGACTGCTCTCACCCTAGGCCTACGCGACCAGGCCTTAACTGTTTTGGAAGCGCTCGGTAAGGAAGTGACTTACGAGCAGCTCCTTGAGGCATTGGAGGCGAGATATGGCGATGCTCACCTGGAACACGTCTTTCGTGCGCAGCTCAAAGATCGCGTGCAACGCAGTAACGAAAACCTGCAGCAGTGGGCCCTTGAGGTGGAGAAGCTGGTTCGAAAAGCGTACCAGTCTGTACCTGTGCTCATTGTAGGGAACCTGGTGCAGACTTTCATCGACGGCATCCGCGACCTTGAAGTCAGAGCTGCTGTGAGGCTCGGGCACCACCAGACGCTTAAGGACGCCCTGACCCATGCACTGGAGGTGGAAGCCGTGCGGCAGGATCATCGTTCCCACCGCGTCAGGGAGGTTGCAGCAGCTACAGTTCAGGACCGCAATAAGGGCTATAACCCTAGGTGCTACGGCTGTGGGGAAAGGGGCCATCTTCGATCCAGCTGCCCTAAACGAACTGTAGAAAGGGAAGGTGATCGATCTCGAGAGGGTAGTGCGGATAATAGCACCGCCCAGCAGCAGCAGGGAAACGAGTAAAAGCCAGGACTGCGGGGCGGGTGCTGGCTGATGTTAAAAGAGCCCCAAGGATTTCGATCTCACAAACCCATGATGGGAACAGCCTAATCATCAAGGGCGAAGTCAACGGAACGCCGTGTAAACTGACCATAGACACTGGAGCCTCTCGCACGGTTGTCAGTTCCCAACTTATAAGTCGGTTCCTTGGGGACTCCGCATACAACCGAGAACGCATTAATTTGGTGACAGCCACCGGTCAGCGCATACCCGTCCGTGGAGAGAAGGAGATGGAGTTGAAGCTAGGCAACATGATCTACCTGCATAATGTCATCGTGGCTGATATAATGGACGACTGCATCCTGGGCCTAGACTTTATGAGGAAGAATTGTTGTGAGATCGACGTTAAGCAAGGTGTTTTGAAATGTGGACAAGAAGAACTTTTCGTGGAAGGGGCGTTACCAGGGAATGTGTACAGCCTTAAGAAGATTGTTCTTCCGCCGAGATCGGAAACGATTGTGCCGGTTAGTCTTCCTCGGAGTCCTGGGCAAGCCCATCGTTGTGTACTCGTGGAAAGGGTAGACAATGACCTTCCATGGAAAGTGGCTCGAACCTTGGTCAGAACCACCGACATCTCAGGAGTACGTGTGTTGAACCTTTGTGATCAGGAACAGATTATAGAAAAAGGCACATTGGTTGGTACTAGTGAGGAAGTGGATTGGTTGCGTCGATGCGAATATCTATCAACCGGGACCCCCAGCAAGGATGGACAAACGATAGTGACCACACTTTTGGAAGACTGTCGCAGCGTTCTTTCCCCGAATGAAATGGTCAAGGCGAAGAAGTTGTTACTCAAGTACGCCAATGTTTTCTCGTCAAACGAAGCTGACATAGGAAAGACTGGCTTAGTCAAACACAAAATAAACACAGGACAAGAATTGCCTATTCGTCAGTGGCCAAGAAGATTGCCTGTAGCACGTGAAAAGGAAGTGGAAACCATGATTGAGGGGATGGTGAAGGATGGTGTTATTGAACCTTCATCTAGTCCATGGTGTTCACCTGTGGTGCTGGTAAAGAAGAAGGACGGCAGCATGCGGTTTTGTGTTGACTATCGCCGCCTGAACGACATTACAAAGAAGGACAGCTATCCCTTGCCAAGAATTGATGACACGCTGGATATGCTTACAGGCGTAAAGTGGTTTAGTACGCTAGATCTGAAAAGTGGCTACTGGCAGGTTGAAATTGACCCTAAGGACAAGGAGAAAACTGCATTCTCCACAGGAAAGGGTCTGTGGCAATTCAAAGTCATGCCGTTTGGATTGTGCAATGCTCCAGCAACGTTTGAAAGGTTGATGGAGCTTGTACTTACCGGGCTAATCCAAATAGACCAGACAAGCATCTCCATGCTTGTCTGGTCTATTTGGATGACATCATCATCGTAGGCCGTACGTTTGAGGAACACCTTCAAAACCTGGAACGCGTGCTCATGAAGATTCAGAGTGCCAACCTCAAGTTGAGTCCAAAGAAGTGCTCACTATTCAAACGGCAAGTTAGTTTTTTGGGGTATGTAGTGTCGGAAGAAGGTATCCGCACGGATCCAGAGAAAATTGCTGCTGTCAAGGAGTGGCCGGTCCCAAAAGACAAGACACAGGTTAGAGCATTTTTGGGTTTGTGCTCTTATTATCGGCGATTTGTGAAGAACTTTGCAGATATAGCCAAACCTCTGCACAAGCTAACCGAGGAGAAGCGACAATTCTGCTGGGATGAAAGTTGCGATATTGCATTCCAGGAGCTCAAGAACCGCCTGTGCAAAACACCTATTTTGGGGTACCCTGATGCGGGCAAGGAATTCATAGTTGACACAGACGCAAGTGATATAGGACTTGGCGGTGTGTTGTCTCAACGGAATGGTGATCAAGAGATTGTGATAGCGTACTTCAGCAAGTCGTTGTCAAAGCCGGAAAGGAACTATTGTGTCACAAGACGGGAATTGCTTGCTGTGGTAAAGTCCTTGCAGCATTTTAGCAAATATCTTCTAGGGCGGAAATTCCACTTACGAACTGACCATGCTGCACTGAAATGGCTATTGCAGTTCAAAAATCCGGAAGGACAAGTTGCGAGATGGATAGAACTACTGCAGGAATACGACTTTGTGATCGAACATCGCAGCGGGAAATCTCATGGCAATGCAGATGCATTGTCAAGAAGACCTTGCCCTGAAGATTGCAAGCATTGTACTAGGCAAGAGGGTAAGGAAGTGGTATCTGTGAGAATGCTCAGGACAGACCAGCTCAGCAATGAGTAGAAGGACAGCCTACAACATGCACAGCAGGAAGATTCGGACATTAAGCCGATTCCAGAATGGATGAAGGCCAGTGCTCCTAAGCCCAAGTGGAGCGACGTCTCAGCAATGAGTTCGACCACGAAAAGCTATTGGGCCCAATGGGACAGCTTGCTGATTCAGGATGGAGTCCTGTGCCGTAAATGGGAAAATGGTCGGGGAGACAGGTGTCATTTGCAAATGGTTGTCCCTAAGGCTAAAGTGCCGGATATTCTACAGCTGTACCATAGTGGTTGTTCAGGAGGCCACCTGGGAGTTAAACGAACTCTCCTGAAGATCCGAGAACGGTTTTACTGGGTCCACTGTCGTGACGATGTCGAGGACTGGTGCCGCAAATGTACAAGTTGTGCGGCTCTATAGGGACCTCAAATTCGTAGTAGAGGCGCATTGAAATTGTACAATGTTGGTGCACCATGGGAGAAGATAGCCATTGACGTTGCGGGGCCGTTTCCAGAAACTGAAAGTGGTAACAAGTATTTCATGGTAGTGATGGATTACTTCACTAAGTGGCCAGAAGTCTTCGCCATTCCAAATCAAGAAGCTTCAACAGTTGCAGATAAACTAGTTCATGAAGTCTTCTGTCGTTTTGGAGTACCTTTAGAGATTCACAGCGATCAAGGAAGGAATTTTGAGTCTCAAATATTCCAGGAAACTTGCCGAGTTATGGGTACTCAGAAAACACGAAAAACTTCTTACCACCCACAATCTGATGGAATGGTAGAAAGATTTAATCAGACATTGGAGAGGTACCTAGCAAAAGTTGTGGAAAAACGGCAACGAGACTGGGACAGGCACATACAACCGTTTTTGTTGTCATATCGAAGCGCTGTTCACGAAAGTACATCAGTGACACCAGCTTTCGCAAACTTTGGGAGAGAATTGCGGCTGCCTGCAGACCTGATCACCGGAATACCACCTGATGCCCCACGCAGTATAACCGATTATGCAAATGACTTGCGGAACAAAATGAATGACATTTATGAGCACGTCAGACAGACGGGCCAGCAAACGTCTGAGAAGATGAAAACACGGTATGACCGCAAAATGAACAACAAGGGCTTTGATGAAGGTTCACTAGTGTGGTTACACAATCCAGTTCGCAGCAAAGGGAAATCTCCTAAGCTTCAAGCTAAATGGGACGGACCGTACCGGATTGTGACAAGGATCAATGATGTAACCTACCGGATACAGAAAGGTGCCAGAGGTACTCCTAAGATTGTCCATGTGGATCGACTGGCGCGTTATTATGGGGCCAATAATGCTCGGGACAAGCATGTCTTAGGAGGGGGCAGTGTTACGCGCCACTATTAATGTCTTGTACATGGCAACACTAGTTACACTAGCGCCCCCTAGTGTCGAGTAAATGAAAGTATTGCGCGCCACTATTAATGTCTTTACATGGCAACACTAGTCACACTAGCGCCCTCTAGTGTCGAGTAGCAGAACTAGGAGAGTCGAGATCCTTCCAGAAATTTCGGGACCGATATGTACTCGAACATTCTAGATGTCGCTACAGTAGAAGGTTCTGGAAACTATCTGAGGCCCTATATAAGAGCGGTATAGACCACGACCGGGGCAGTATTGAATTGGCGATACAAGAGAATACTTCGAAGCGAAATAACGGCGAACTGTGTTTTATTATTAGTGTGATTTTTGATTGTAATTAGTGTTGTGTAATTAAAGTGTCAATTTTGGTACTTAATTCAGTCGGCAGTTTTTAATTGTCTCGAACCCGAAGCTCGTAACAATATTTACTTCTTTTCTAAGTATTCTCCATTACATTTAAAAACCTTTTTATTTGTTCAAACCGTTTTTGAAAACAGGACCATAGGTGTGAGCAAAAATGAAAATAATCCCAAAATATTTTAGGGTGATACGCCGGTTTTCTTCAATTAGTCTTCTGACAGTAGCCACATTTTCCTCAGTGATAGCAGTTGAAGTTCGACCTTTACAAATTTCATCATGGAAAGAAAACGGCCGTGGTCAAATTCCGCGTACAAGCGCTTTACGGTGCTATAAAGAGGGTCTTCCCTCGCAAAAGCATTTTAAAGATGAGCAGTGTAATCTTGTGGAGTGTTTTTTTTTTAAAACCTAAAATATCATCGCCCTAAAATCTTTTCAGGTTATTTTAATTTTTGCTACGGATGATAAAGTCAGCTTGTGAAAAACAATTGACACGCGACTTGCCGCCAAAAATAATTTTAATAAGCGTTTCACAAGTTTTAAAAATATACCACTCCAAATCCAAACGTTTATGAGCGGCCAGGAGCGTAAAACTTTCAGTTTGCCCTATGTACTTCATAAGTACATACTTGTAATCATCAAATGGTATTTGTTGGAGGTCATAAAGCTTTACGACGTAAAAGAGAAAGCCGATCTGTTGAGCTCTCTCTTTGCATCCAACTCGACTCTTGATGACGGGGGGAACACACCGCCGACCATCCCGCGATGTAAGTGCTCCATGCCGGATGTGCGGTTTACACAGCACTCGGTTCGCAAAGCACTCTTCTCCCTGGACGTCAGCAAGTCGAGTGGGCCTGACGGAATCCCCCCAATTGTGCTGAGGATGTGTGCTCCGGAGTTGGCACCGGTTCTAACGCGTATTTTCTGGTACTCCTACTCCCTAGGCGTATTCCCGAAATCATGGAAGACAGCTTTTGTCCACCCGATCCCTAAAAAAGGCGACCGCTCAGACCCGTCCAACTACAGGCCTATCGCCATCACCTTGTTCTCCAAAATAATGGAATCCGTTATAAACTGCCACCTCATGCGGTACCTTGAGGATCACCAACTGATTAGTGATTGCCAATACGGTTTTCGTCGGGGTCGATCAGCTGGTGATCTTCTGGTCTACTTAACTCATAGATGGGCGGAGGCAGTAGAGTCCAAATGCCTCCGCATTGGCCGTTAGTTTGGACATTGTGAAGGCCTTCGATCGGGTTTGGCACAAAGCGCTTCTTTCGAAGCTCTCTTCCTATGGGCTTCCCGAGAAATTATGCAATTGGATCACCAGCTTTCTTGCAGATCGGAGCATCAAGGTCGTTGTAGACGGTGCATGCTCCGACTACAAGCCTATTAACGCTGGTGTTCCACAAGGCTGCGTGCTATCACCAACGCTGTTTCTTCTGCATATCAATGATATGTTGCAAACCGGTAGCATTCATTGCTATGCGGATAACAGCACTGGTGATGTTCTATACGCCGGCCGTGCCATTATTTCTCGGGAAAACGTCTCCGAGTACCGGAACAAACTTGTGTCTGAAGTCGAGTCTTTGCTGGGCAAAGTCTCGGATTGGGGGCGACTAAATCTAGTCCAGTTTAATCCTCAGAAGACACAAGTTTGCGCGTTTACCGCTAAAAAGAACCCCTTTGTCGTATCTCCTCAGTTTCAAGGTACTCCCCTTGTTGCCTCAGCCAGTATCGGAATCCTCGGCGTCGACATATCGAGTGACGTGCAGTTTTGTGGTCACTTGGAAGAGAAGGCCAAATTGGCCTCTAAAAAGCTTGGCGTGCTCTGCAGAGCGGGACAGTATTTCATGCCGGCACAACACTTGCAACTTTACAAGGCGCAGGTTCGGCCTCACATGAAATACTGTTCCCATCTCTGGGCTGGGGCTCCCCAGTGCCAGCTCCTTCCACTTGACCGCATCCAGCGCAGAGCGGCTCGAATCGTCGACGACCGAGTCCTTTCCGATCGGCTCGACTCATTGGCGCAGCGAAGAGATTTTGCATCTCTTTGCATTTTCTTTCGCATTTAACACGGGGAGTGCTCTGAGGAATTGTTCGGATTAATCGCAGCCGCCAAATTTCACGAACGCACATCGCGGCAGAACTCCCGATACCATCCACACCATCTGGATGATTGGCGGTCCACCACTGTGCGATTTAGAAGATGTTTTCTTCCTCGCACAACTTCCTTGTGGAATAGTTTACCACCAGCGATTTTTCCGGGCCGATACGACTTAGAGACCTTCAAGAAAAGAGCCTGCTCCTTTTTAAAAGGCCGGCAACGCATCTGCCGGCGGCGGCGGCGGTAGTCACTTACCATCAGGTGAGCCGCATGCTCGTTTGCCCCCTCTCCTATAATAAAAAAACAAACAA